ATATGAATAAACATGCGCAAGCCAAACAAGAGAGGTTATAGCCAATATAGTGGGCGGATTTGGAAATTTCAAAAATCCAAGTTTTTTTCTTGCAAAATATACACGCAAAATCAAACGCAACATGAAAAATAATGTGAAATCTTTCAATAAAAAAAATAACTACGCACGCTTATGACTGATGTCAAGCGTGGCCGAGTTTTTGAGTAGAATTTTTCCCTCTGCCTCTTCAGAAACAATTACCCAAAAAAATTGTTATTTTGCGTCAAGTGAGTGTCAAATTATATGAGAACCAGAAATTAACGTACGGATTGCCTTAAGTTGAAGTTGGCCTATGAAGTTGACCCAATTTTTTCGTTTTCGTGTGTCACGTTAATTTTCTTATTTTTTAGGTGGACGCACGCATGTGTAATGATCCAGAAATTAGACCCGTAAATCGCAATGTCATTAATGTAAAAAATAAATAATTATCAAATAATCAAAAACTTAATTTCCGGTATTTCTAAATCAGTATCGATAAATTAAAGTGAAACAAATTAACGCTAACGTATCTCGACACCCAGCGTGATGTCATCCAACATCCGATCAATGAACTGTTTTGACCTCGATAAATCAGGATATTGCGACATAATTATTCGATTTTTTCACACTAAAAATGATAAAAATCTCAAGGAAATTGCATCATCTTAATTGTCATGGACAGAGAAAATTGGGGGAACGATTTAATATAAATACCGCGGTTTTAGAAGAGGAGGAGTTGTTAGTTGTCAGTTGAGAGATGAGTTCGCAGTCCTGTCCAGTTTGAGTTAAAATCTACAGTATCTAAAGTGTCAGGAAAGTTTCTTGTAATGCCTCGGTAACAGTCTTTGAAAAAGTAGCGGAAATTTTTTTAAAAGAAAGAACAATTAAATTTGTCAACATTTATGTGCGTGCTAAAGTCTATGCACCGAGAGTTTACCCCTAAGTCATAAAACACGGCATGGCTATAAATCATGCGAAATATAAAGAGAGGACGGGTTCTACCTGAAATTCTCAAAATGTTTTGTGGTCAACAAATTTTGTGAAGAAATATAATTTTTACCTATCTGTAAAAATTATATTTCGTATTTATTTAAAATGCAATATATTCATCTAATGCTGAGTATAGATTATTATACTTTTATTATTATCATTATTACATATTGTTTACAAGTGAAACATAATTATTATCTAACTTAACACAAAATTTTGTTTTGTTTGGGAAGCACTGGAATTTCGGTATAAATCTTGTTCAAAAACTTTGACAGGCCCTATAATAATCCAGGTGCTGGTGTACCATTTTTCAAAGTTACTTGAAAATATAATTTTGTCAAGTAATATTTTTTTATGGAGTAAATTTTAAATAGGCAACTACTCTATAGACATTGATTTCCGACGTAGGTAACTCAAAAACTTTAAAATTAGTTTGAAAAAGGACTTTATAGAACTAAATGTTAATTCGTTCACTTGGTCTTGTACTAATTTATTGACACCCCTCTGTTTTACAGCTTATGGGTAACCTCTGGATGCACAGACTATAGCTAAAAATTTTGAGTAAGTAATTAAGTAATTTTACGTGTGCAAAGTAAAATGTAAGTACTTTAGTGTTTAATAATTTTCTGACTTTTATCAATAATTCTGAATGATAAGAAGTGAATTAACAATGACTTTTAATGCCTAAAAACTTGAGTGATTTTTACTAGAAAAACTTTACACTTTATAATAATTAACTGTGGAACTTTATTGTATAAATATCAATAACTCGAGTGTTTTGAAAATGGAACATTATTGCATAACTTTAATTGCCTTCAGATATAATGACATTCTAATTTAATTTTGCATCAAAAATATGAAGGGAATTTATAATGCACTTATAGTCCAAGAGCCGGCAATACTAACGGGTATGTGATCGTTGCAATGGATAATTTCTACATAAAACAATAGTTCATAGTAACCTTTAAACCAAATGGATGGGTTGCCTCGATTCTCATGGCCGTAAAGTTGTTTTATAAAAAGATACTCCAAGAACCATAAGCGCAACAAATAAGAAGTACCTTGCGGTGTAGGAGGTTCTCATCATATGCGGCAAACACTTTATTAACACAATTTCATGTTTCTTTTTTTGTCTAAAGACCTACAGCTGTATGCAAAATCCTCTTCACAGAGTCCACTTTTAACTTTGAAAGTGACTTTGAAGGCTGTCATTTTCAAAATTTTGTATTTAGCAAGCAAAATAACGCGTGCCCTTGACTAGCTATCGCAACGATAACATTGCTCCTTCGGAAAAAGAGGGGTAGTTTACACCCAGCCATTAAAGGGTTGCGGCCATGAGAATCGAGGCCACCCATCCATTTAGTTTAAAAAGGTAATTATGAGCTATTCTTTTATGTGAAAATTATCCATTGCAACGATCACATACCCGTTAATATTGCTTGCTCTCCTACTATTACCAATATACAATTTTGACTATTTTGAGTAGGGATTATGAATTAAACAGTTGGGTTTATTAGCTAGGCATAGGAATCCGAAAATAGAATTTGATGTTCATGAAATAGAATTGTTGTCTTAAAATAATGGAAAGTTGTTAAAGGAAACTTTGTTCTGATTAAATAAACTATTGAATGGAATAGGAAATTTTGAAAAGAAACTTGTTGTTCATGGAATAGAATTGTCTTAAAATATTGGAAAATTGTTGTTCATAAAATGAATTTTGAATTAGGATTTTTTTTTTTCAAGTAGAAATTATTGTAAGGTTTTATAAGAATAAGTTAGTAATACCTATATTGATAAACAAATAGGTAATTATTTTGGGTTTTCATAAGCAGTCAGCGAGGCAGTCAGTAAAGGACTTAGTAATTTTAAAGAATTTAGAGAAATAGGTGAAGGGTAGTTAATAGGAATGAATCGGAAGTGTTGAAATGAGTTAACTTATAAGTTATTAGGAATAGTAGGAATAGGGCGTTTCTTATTTAGTAGGGATATTTGAGTGGTCCGTAATAATAACAATTTTAGAACGGATGTGAAGTAATTGAATTTATAGAAATAGATGAGGCTGTCAGAATTGGAAGATATTTTGCTGATTTAGATTTTTGGGTTTTATGTATAATAAAATATAATTTAGTACACCTCAATAGTTTGCTTCTCTCTCTTGCAAATAGACCCTTCCACAGATTTTAGGTAGCAGCTCCAAGTGAATAAACATCATCAATATACCGCTCGCCATTTACCATCTAACTAATTACATAGAGTACTTGGGGCGTTTTGCTACAATATTTTATATAAAAAAAGGAAAAGGGTAAATCTCGTACATATCACCAATATTCAGTAAATATCGCATCTAAATATAATTAAAAACTATTGCCAAATATGTCTTATCAATGTTGGATCCATATTGGATAAACATTGTATAATAATAGGTATAGGAAAAACGTATATCTCCTATAGGTATATTACCAATATTGGATAAACAGTACATAATAATATAGGAAAGAGGTAGGTATCTCCTATGTATTACCAATATTGGATAGATATTACATATTAATATAAATAAAAGCTATTGCCAAATATGTTATATCAATGTTGGATCCATATTGGATAAAAATTATCTAATAATATAGGGCAAAGCTACATCTCCTAATATATTACCAATATTGGATAAATATTACATATAAATATAAATAAAGGTTATTTCCAAATATGATTTATCAATGTTGGATCAATATTGGATAAACATGGTATTAGAATATAGGAAAAAGGTACATCTCCTATATATTACCAATATTGGCTATAAATTGCCAATATTGGGCCATCATGCAATATTTCACCAATCAATATTGTGCCAATATAGTGTGCTACTGGGGACTATTTACCAGTATTTGTGACAGCTCTGTAACTACTTATTTTGTTATGAAGATTATTAAAACAAATATTTCAAAAAATTGTCCACTACCCTATTAAATTGGCTATTTTGAATTTTTTCAAATCTACAGAAACAGGGAAGATCAAAAATAAGCCCCTGTTCAGTCGCCGTTGGATGATCCTGTACATCTCGCAGTCTTCGTTTAGTTGTGTATATTTTGGAGCAGAATTGCAAAAATATTCAAGTGGTAGGTAATTTATTTTGAGTGCTTGAGAAGAAAGTTAGTACAATCAATAGGAATTGGAATTATTATGAAATGACTTGAAATTGTGATATTTTCAATATAACCTTGCATTGGGGGATGGCAAGAGAATAGGGGTAGCTGCCAGCAAGATGTACTTTCCCATTCTTTAGGATCATAGGAATACGAATTTGAGTATTTTTGCTGGTTCTCACATTTTGCATACTCAACTATAAAACCTACTTGTAGCGCCTGCTCTAATATGAATATATAGGATTTTAAAGAACCAATCAAGCTTTTTTTATGAAAAATATACACGCAAAATCAAACGCAACGTGAAAAATAATGTAAAATCTTTCAATAAAAAAATAGTTGCGCACGCTTCTGATGTCAAGCGTTGGCCGAATTTTTAAGTAGAATTTTCCCCTCTACTGTCCCTTTAGACTGCGGCGTAGCTCTAGAACCATGCAACTAAATTTATAAGAAAAAGCACGGTATTTTTGTGAAGGACCTTTACTAAACAATTACCCAAAAAATTGTTATTGTGCGTGAAGTGATCGAGTGTCAAATTATATCGGGTCTTCAAAAAAAAAAACCAGTCAAAGATTGCTTTGAATACGAAAACGTATGTCGCATTATTGTTTCTTTATTGGTCAGGATTTTTGACATGTCATTTTGACATTAAAGTTCATTGACAAAATTAAAGAAAATATTGCTAAGACATACGTTTAAAAAACCATAGCAATCTTTGATTGTTTTTTTTTTTGAAGACCCGATATGTCCAGAACCAGAAATTAACGTACAGATTTCCTTAAGTTGAAGTTGGCTCAACCGGCTCAACTTTTTCGTGTGTCACGTCAATTTTCTTAATTTTTGAGTGGATGTAAATAACTAGGTATAGCACATGAACTTCAATTTTTCTTTATTATTAATTTTCCATACGTTAAGTGAATGTAAATGACACATTAATAGTGAACAATATGGATAGGTTATAGTGGAAATTAAATTGAAAAAAAAAGCATAAATAATTTAGGCACATCAGAAATTTTATTAGGAACTTAAACCTAGTATTGAAAACTTTAAACTTAATCGATATTTATGTAGTAAACAAACAAAAAACATAATTCAATAAAATACACCAACACCCTTATCAAATTTCTATTGGCATTCCATTTTCACTCGGGAAATGTGACAATTCTAAATATTATTAAGGCGTCCTACTAGAGATCACAGACCATCAGTCACATCCGGAAATATTATGTTTTTTTCATGACCAAAATCCAACAAATCTTTGGCATGTGATGAGAAAGAGATATTGGTTAAAAATTACTCATATTGGCAGTCAAATTTTTTGCGGGTATTGCGGGATCTTTTTTTAATGGTTATTTTGGAGTTGGATATTCTCTTGGAGCTACAACGAAGAAGAATTTTTTAGTTTGCAAATTTACTTTAAAACTATCTTTTTCTTCTCGAAATGGTTGGTTTTCATTGTCTACTATCTTAAATGAAGTATAATATTTATCCAAAGGATATTTATGGGCCACCGAAAAATGAATGTCCGATTTGTCAATCTTATAAAATATAATGCAGCAAAATCCTGAATCAGTTACCATGTAGATTCTTCCCTGATGGGGCCAAAGAAAAAACATTTCAGAGGTAATCAAGGTAACCCTATTGTCATGGCGAATTACAATAGATTTAAATTTATCGGAGCTTTCAATAAAAAAATGGCCAAAGTAGAATTCAGCGAATTGAAAATCAGAAAAGCCAGCTTTCGGATTATGAGAGCAAGTTTTTTCATGATCAAATACTGCATTATCCCCAAATCCCATGCCACAGTGGTATCTACAATAAAAGAGAACATTCGACATATTTTTGAATATAGTGGATGTAATCTGTGAACAGTTCCCATCAGCTGAACAACTCTGGCAATATTTTACGCCTCTCATATAACAAGGAATGCAAATATTAATATTGCAGTTGCCATGGCGAGAAAAACCATTCGACAAGAGAAAATAGTTTTCACAAAAATTGCATATTACTTGTACTTGGTATTCTGTAGACTGCTTTAATAAAACATGGATTTTTCCATAACTGGTAACTTTCTGAATTTTTTTGAATTTATATCCATTATACTCTAAGCAAAAATCAGGAAAGCATTTCAGCATAAAGTCATCATATGGTTCGCCAGAATATTTGAAGTCTTCAGGTTTGATTTTTGTTCCAATAACTGTACTGCACTCAACCTTTGATTCCTCCAAACTGATAAATGGAGTGGTAATACTTAACTGGGAAAATTCTAATTCGAGATACATTTTTTCTAAACCATTATCAGAGTTGGCTGCTGATAATAATTTGAAATGAAACTCTCCAGCTGATGTACTTGATGAAGATAGCCTAACAGCCACATCGCCGATAACGTTATGGCAATTGAAGCTGCAATTTATTTTATTCTTATTATTGCCCAATGCAATCATCTTTACATATGGCTGTCCGGCAATAATTTCAACATAAATAAATGCCAAGATGTTTTTATATTCATTGCAGTAAAGATAATTAGATTCTTTGGCAGACTTCGTACTAACAGAAAGCAGAGGGTTTGTCAGATAATATTTGTTATGCAATATCCGATAATGATGAATCAAAGACAACAATGAATATTTCACCAATTGGTTGTTGGAATGGTTGACACAAATTGGGCATAAATGTAAACTACCCCTACAGACATTTTCATGTTGTGGCACATCTTCGCATTTAAGAAGTTCATTGCAGCCATCAAAACGATTCACACATGGAAAAATGACGTTCTTAATAATATTATTTAGCAGCGAAGGAGCTGTTTCTTCTTCGTCCTTTAAACATCTGCCACACATCACCCCTTCCGAGATAGAAACTTTGATTGGACCATACGAAAGGTACTGTTTGCAGCAAGAACATATTTGCGTCTTCAATATTTCCTCTGGAAACAATATCATGGTGAATTTATGACCTGAAAAGAAAATTAAAAATAAAATACACAGTAGTGTGCAATTTTCAAATAAATAATACCAATCTATGAAATCAAGATAACTTAAATAATAACGCGGTATATTTATGGAAAAGCTTATTTTAAAATCAAATAAACTAGTTTCATTAATGAATAAAGATATTCCATTGAGAATCAATCAATAGTATGATTAAGAAGGCAGACTTAGCTGGTAAATCTGTTGTTTTACACGGGCCAAATGAACAAAAATATGTTTGTTATTAGTGTGCTTCTGGACTTGAAAAAAACAAGAAAAAAAAACGTTTAATGGGCTCTTTCACTAAAATTTAAATACGTAATTTAAGTATAAAATCCCCGGGACTATTTTAGGCATATATACCAAAAAAAAAATGTTCTACCAGGTTAAATAAGTTTTTTACAGGCATTTGAAATTGGCGAAATTCAAATTGATTTAAAACGCGCCGATTTCCTGACGTCACATAAATATTTTTCATTTCGCTCATTCGTTGCAAGGAGCTGACCGCCTCGGCTGTGTTACCCTGTAATAAAAGCAGGTAAAGGTTCGAATGCGCTGTTGTCGGTGGTGACCAAATGTAGTGCAACGTAAAATAAATAGGTTAATAAAACTAAACATAAAAAATTGTATCAAATTGTGTTTAAGCATAATTTTAATAAAAAAGTTATAAAATCTTGAATCCATAACTAATTAATTTAACTACTTTGCATGATATTTTGCGAACATTTCAGAATCAAATCTATTACAAATTTTCAATGTTAACAATTAGTGGAAACACGGTCAAATTGCGAGCTGCGACGTCATAGAAATAAATTCTGGGTTTTTATTTGGAGACATTTCTTTTTTTTTCTGTTTTCTCAAGAAGGACTATGAATTTTTCAATAGTAAAAATACAGAAAATTCTGTTTTTAGTTGCTTTATCCAAATATGCCAATTTCAAAAATTAGTGAAAGAGCCCATTCTGTGGGTGTATTGTTCGTCGTTTTTAATCTGACATTTTTCGTATGAGGAGCGAGGGGGTGGAGCATATGACAAAAACAGGTGTGACGTCAGGTAGCCATTGGCGTTCTAACGTAGAGAGACACCAGCTCACATTCCTTTGAAGTATCAGATTAAAATCGACAGAGTCTGTTCGGAAGAAACTTTATAGGAAATTAAAGATGATAAATGGCGATCCTACAAAGTACTACCTAGCTGCTCCCCGCAGTCCCCGCGGTTTATTTATTCTAGAGTAGTTCACAATAGGCAATATTTCTTATCAACCCATACCTTAAAAAAAAACGAACGAAGGCTCAAACAATTTTTTTTTTGTCTGAGAAGTCCCTTTCGGGCAGGAGTTCCAGAAAATCCGTTCTTAGTTTGTGTCTACGTCGACGTAGGAGTAAATATTCCAAATTTTGAGTAAATTGGAGATCTTGATGAGTGAATGAGTGAGTGAGTCAGTGGCAGTGGCGTATCTACCGGTGTGCCATGTGTGCGAAGCACACAGGCCCGGCCCCGAAAGGGGCCCGTGAGTTCCACAGCGAAACTGCAAAAAAATGTTTTAAAAGATAATAGACCTAAAATTATTAATTGTGTTTTTATTTTTTTGCTGTGCTGACGGGCCCCGAAAGGGGCGCGTGAACTCCACAGCGAAACTGCAAAAAAATTTTTTAAAAGATAATAGACCTAAAATTATTAATTGTGTTTTTATTTTTTTGCTGGTATAATAATGATTAATATATGGACAATAGTCTATCTACGCGCAAAAAAAATACCGGCAGCGGTATAGTATTTTTATTCCGACTTGAAACACAGCATTATACAAGGATGCTCTTCTTCTATTAATTTCCTAGAAAATCTATTGTAAGTTTCCCTGTATGTACAGGGTGATCCAGTATAAAGTGAACACCCCCTACCTTTTCGCTAAAAAATTTTTTTTTCAAAAAATCAATATCGCCATTCGGTGTATTTTGTTTCTACGTGTTTGAGAACGTTTTTCGAAATTTAATTGGATTTTTCGTTGAAGCGCTGTGACCAAAAAAGTCATTTTTTTAAATGGAATAACCTATATTTAAATCAATTTTTTGAACGTCCCTATTTTTCTCATTTCAAATATATAGTTTGTTTATCTTTATTTTAAACATTTGCGATATATTCTCACTGCAAAATTCGAATAAAAATAGCCGAAAAGGTATCAAGGTAAATCTAAATAATTTTACCTTTAATAAAGCTGCTGGTGATTATGTTTTATGATACCTTTTCCGCTACTTTTATGTGAATTTTGAAGTGAGAATATGTCGCAAATTTTTTGAATAAAGGTAAACCAACTATATATTTGAAATGAGAAAAATAGGGACGTTTAAAAAATTGACTTAAACATAGGTTATTCCATTTAAAAAAATTACTTTTTTGGTCACAGCGCTTTAACGAAAAATCTAATTAAATTTCGAAAAACGGTCTCAAACACCTAGAAACAAAATACACCAAATGGCTATCTGGATTTTTTCAAAAAAAAATTTTTTTGCGAAAAGGTAGGGGCTGTTCACTTTATACTGGATCACCCTGTACAAAACATAAGCAGCGACGAAATATCGCTACAGTAGCCCAAATTAATAATTCAAGTCGGTACGCAGGTACGTAGGTTCAATTATTGTGGTGGGCTACTACGTCTTCCCGGAAACGATGTAGGTGCTCCTGTGACTAGACTACCAGTGTCAGTGTCATCCCAATTTATATAGTAGGTATATTTGCTATTTTATTCCACGTGATATTTAGTTGTGTTGTTTGATATCGATTATCACCATTTAAAGAAATAAAAATTATGTGACGCCCATATCCTTTATTTGTTTGATGTATGCCGACTAGATGTTTTTTGGTGTTTGGTGATGGTGTTTCAAGTCGGATTAAAAATACTATACATAGTTATTCGTACCACTTTCGAAAAGGGTGAATTCACAATTTAACGTTTAAATAAAAATACCTAAAAAAATTTTTAGGAGTGTTTTTTGAACGACTTTTGGGTTAGATTGGGTTAGTAAAAAAAAGCACCTGTAATGGGCCCGCGGAGATTTTGGCACACAGGCCCGGAGCTGGATTCATACGCCACTGGTCAGTGGTATTTCGCTGTTATATAATATACATACATATAGGTTTGACTGGTTGTTAAATGTAGAAAAAATAAGTCTACCTAATACCTTGGTTTTCTTCACTATAAAATAATAGTACATCTACACTTTTTTGTCTTTTTTTATACTTCAGGAACAAATTTGGCTTGCTTTCCATGAAGAACTTTTTACAAATATAATATTGATGTGTGGATTATTTGATTATTTGGAATTTCGATTCGATTGTGAACAGAGATAACTATTATAACTATATTGATAAGGCTATGTTTTTTTTTAAATGTATTGTATTTACTCGTGGAGTGCATTCAAGTTGCCGTCCTTGAACGCTTATGCCAAAACCTATATTTAAAAAAAATAAAAATTATTTATGCCCTAAAAGAGTATTTCCCAAATCTTATTCCCTGAAACTCAATAATAACTTGGTAAAAAATGTTTGAAGCTTCGCGCGTATTAATAGTATCTACAGGGTGTCACAGAATATGTGGGCGATCCCTCGGATTCAGATAGAATACAAAAAAATAACATGAAAACTTCCTATAAAAAAAAATCCTACGGTCCGCCCTACGAAGTTACGTGCCCATAAAGGACGCCTCTGAAAATCGTTTTTTTGTTAATAACTTTCAAAATACTTTTATGTATTTTTTTTTCTTTTAATATGATGAATACGGCTCCGTGTCATTTGCGCGACAGCCGTTTGCGCGAGGGAGAAAAGCGCGATACGAAAAGCGCGAGGGACAAAACCGCGACGGAACAAAAACGCGACTGGAGAAAAGCGAGAGTAACAAAAACGCGACTGGATAAAAGCGCGAGGGACAAAAACGCGAGGTACAAAAGCGCGACAGAACAAGATCCCGACTGAACAGAAGCGCGAGAGACAAAAACTCGAGGGGCAAAAGCGCGACGGAACAAAAACGCGACTGAACAGAAGCGCGAGGAACAAAAACGCGACTGAACAAAAGTGCGAGGGACAAAAACTCACGCGAGGGACAAAAGCGCGACAGAACAAAAACGCGACCTGAATGAAGAGTAATGGACAAAAACGCGACTGGATAAAAGCGCGTTGGACAAAAGCGCGAGGAACAAAAACCCGACTGGAATAAAGCGCGATTGGATGAGAACGCTCGACTATCTACGAGGAATATAGAACGCTTTCCAAAATACAAGACATTAAGACATTCTCAGTGGCTCCGGATCAAAAGAGCGATATTTGAAATAGTGACATTAAAAAGGCGACATATTTTTAAAGCGATACATCAAAATAGCGATATTCAAAATAGCGACTTATTAAAATAGCGACATTCAAAACAGCGACATGTGAAAAAAGTAGCGACATATCAAAAAAGCGACATTCGAAAGCGCGATACTTGAAACAGCGACATTGCAGAAGAGCGACATATGTAAAGAACGAGATTTAAAACAGCGACATCAACAACGGCGACCTCTAAGCAAAACAGGGACACATCAAATTGTATCAATAATAATCAAAAAAATGCAGACTACTCAAACTAACCCGTTCCCCTAGTGCGATCTTGTCCTCGTAAGTTAGCATTTTATTTGAAAAACAAGGTTGACATTTTTTTTAAATAAAATGCTAACTTACGAGGACTAGATCGCACTAGGCGGACGGGTTAGTTTGGGTTAGTTTGAGTAAGTCTGCAATAAAATGCTAACTTACGAGGACTAGATCGCACTAGGTGGACGGGTTAGTTTGGGTTAGATTGAGTAAGTCTGCAATAAAATGCGAACTTACGAGGACTAGATCGCACTAGGCGGACGGGTTAATTTGGGTTAGATTGAGTAAGTCTGCAATAAAAGCTAACCTACGAGGACTAGATTTTACTAGGCGGACGGGTTAGTTTGGGTTAGATTGAGTAAGTCTGCAATAAAATGCTAACTTACGAGGACTAGATCGCACTAGGCGGACGGGTTAGTTTGGGTTAGATTGAGTAAGTCTGCAATAAAATGCTAACTTACGAGGACTAGATCGCACTAGGCGGACGGGTTAATTTGGGTTAGATTGAGTAAGTCTGCAATAAAATGCTAACTTACGAGGACTAGATGGCACCAGGCGGACGGGTTAGTTTGGGTTAGTTTGAGTAAGTTTGCAATGAAATGCTAACTTACGAGGACTAGATCGCACTAGGCGGACGGGTTAATTTTGGTTAGATTGAGTAAGTCTGCAATAAAAGCTAACTTACTAGGACTAGATTTTACTAGGCGGACGGGTTAGTTTGGGTTAGATTGAGTAAGTTTGCAATAAAATGCTAACTTACGAAGACTAGATCGCACTAGGCGGACGGGTTAGTTTGGGTTAGTTTGAGTAAGTTTGCAATAAAATGCTAACTTACGAGGACAAGATCGCACTAGGCGGACGGGTTAGTTTGGGTTAGATTGAGTAAGTCTGCGTTTTTTCGATTATTATTGATTCAATGTGTTCATCACTTATTTGTATAGTTCTAAGTAGGACAACATGATAAACTTTATTAACAAAAAAACCAAATAAATTAGTTAAAAATACAAATTATGGAATGCTAAGTTTAAATGGTTGAGTTTAAAGCTACTGCTTTAAGGTGATTTTGTACGTTGGAGAAAGGGCATTCTTGGACTAAGTTTAACAATCGAGAATTAACTTGCTCATATTTTGAACTCGTCGCTGGGGGCTTTCTATACCCGGTCCTTTATTTGTTGACAGCCATTTCAACAACGCTTTTGTCCCTGGCGTTTCTGTTCCGTCGTGCTTTTGTCCCTCGCGCTTTTGTTTCTCGCGCTTTTATCCAGTCGCGTTTTTGTTCAGTCGCGCTTTTGCTCTTCGCGTTTTTGTTCCGTCGCGCTTTTGTTCCGTCGCGCTTTTGTCCCTCGCGCTTTTGTTCCTCGCGTTTTTATCCAGTCGCGTTTGTGTCCATCGCGCTTTATTCCAGTCGCGTTTTTGTTCCGTCGCGGTTCTGTCCCTCATGTTTTTGTTCCGTCGCGCTTTTGTTCCTCGCGTTTTTATCCAGTCGCGTTTGTATCCATCGCGTTTGTATCCATCGCGCTTTTTTCCTGTCGCGTTTTTGTTCCGTCGCGCTTTTGTCCCTCGCGCTTTTCGTATCGCGCTTTTCTCCCTCGCGCAAACGGTTGTCGCGCAAATGACACAGAGCCGATGAATACTAGATAAGACCCCTTAAAATGGACCCTTTCAAACACACCTGGCCAATCTAGTTTGCCAGGGACGGACTAGCTTTACCACAATAATGCTCCTTTTTTTTACACCCTGTATAATGAGCACAGCAATTTTATTTTTAGATAGTTTTGACCTTGAACTAGAAAAAAGGTCCTTTTATTTGATGTCGAAAAAATGAGCTGGTTTCGAGAAAAATCTGATTTTGTTTATTAATGGTTTTTTATTAAATATACAGTGTGTCCGTAAAGTAACGGATAAATTCATTATTTTGAAAAAGGTAGAATTTTTGAAAAATCGCTCAGACACGTCAATTTTGTTTTTTTGTTTGAAATTTTTTGATATATTTTTCATTATACAGGGTGTCTCAAAAATAGCTCCGCTGCTGTCAACTTTGTTTTTTCAAATGGATCACCCTGTATATTATGACATTTATAGATTCTGCGGAAAATTTTTGACATATTTCATGTACAATGTCATATACCTATCTTCAACTGTTTCGGAAATATTGACAGTTGAAAATTGATTTTTTTGCAACTTTGACAGGTTGTAAAACTTGAACGGTTAATTTTAGAGGAAAACCGATTTCACATTCCTATCTTAGATTTTCATAAACTTTGACACCAACTTTGAATTTACCCGGAGATTAAATTTAATCGGAATTTTTAATCACGCATTAACTTCAAAGTTGGTGTCAAATGATAGTTTATGAAAATCTAAGATAGGAATGTGAAATCGGTTTTCCTCTAACATTGACCGTTTAGGTTTTACAGCCTGTCAAAGTTGCAAAAAAATAAATTTTCAACTGTCAATATTTCCGAAACAGTTAAAGATAGGTATATAACATTGTACAGGGTGGTCCAAATTGGACACTTTCTTATGGAAACAACCTTTATTTTTAGAGATAGAAAAAAATGGACCCCCCACTCTGAGGCTCAAATTTCATGAAATCTTGATTGGTGCAAACCGCATTTTGATATCTTCAACCGTTTAGCCGCTAGAGGGCGATTCTCGATTTTGAGCAATACTGTAAAGCCTCCATAACTTTCTTGTTTATGAAAATAATTCATTTCCGTAAAGACCTTTTGGAAGCACTTTTTCAAGCAGTATTCAGTGACATTCTCAGTTTTTTTCTGTCTGGCTTCGATTTCGAGATATTGACCAAAATCCCATTTTTTTCAATAGGACACTCTATATATTAATAGTTCATTAGAAAGCTATGCTTTCGCTGATTTTAATGATATAGGTTTGATAGGTTGATCTCTAACAGTTTTCGAGAAAAAAAATTATTTCGGTTTTTGTCATAAGAAACAATGTGTTGGAAAAGGACTTTATCTCTGTAAGGAAACTGAGAAAGGTCTCTTTCTTACACATTGTTTCTTATGACAAAAACCGAAATAATTTTTTTTCTCGAGAACTGTTAGAGATAAACCTATCGAACTTTATATTATTGAAATCAGCGAAAGCATAGCTTTCTAATGAACTATTAATATATAGGGTGTCCAATTGAAAAAATTCTAATTTTGGTCAATATCCCAAAATCGAAGCCAGACAAAAAAACTGAGAACTTCACTGAATTTTGCTTGTAAAAGTGTTTCTAGAAAGTCTCTACGGAAATCAATTATTTCCATAAACAAAAACTTATGAAGGTTTCACAGTATTGCTCAAAATCGAGAATCGCCCTCTAGCGGCTGAACGGTTTAAGATATCAAAATGCAGTTTGCACCAATCAAAATTTCATGAAGTTTGAGCCTCAGAGTGGGGGGTCCATTTTTTTCTATCTCTAAAAATAAAGGTTGTTTCCATAAGAAAGTGTCCAATTTGGACCACCCTGTACATGAAATATGTCAAAAATTTTCCGCAGAATCTATAAATGTCATAATATACAGGGTGATCCATTTGAAAAAACAAAGTTGACAGCAGTGGAGCTATTTTTGAAACATCCTGTATAATAAGAAAATTATCAAAAAATTTCAAACAAAAAAAACAAAATTGACGTGTCTGAGCGATTTTT